CAAACATGTAACATTTTTTTTGTATCACTTCAAGATTGTCAATTAAATAATGCTGAGGTAAACTTACTAAATCAATTACAAGACACAATCAAGCAGAATCGTAATACTAAACAACCAAATAAACAACGAAAACGCCTCATAATATCTATTCCCGAAAATCTGAAGTCCGAGTTTATTAAAAAAATTGGCTTCAACAACCAAGAAATCAACAGCCAGTCTCTGGATGACTTCAGTAACAGCTTTAAAGATCTCGATGAAATATCGAGACGACAACTGATAGAACATGATCGTATAAAGATCGGTGGTTTCCGTATAACAGATTTACTCTCTATGAACGAGTTAGACCTGTGCATGCGAGATAAAATATTATTAAAATTTATTTTAAATGAATTAGAAATAAACGACGATAAAGTAGAAAGAAATCGATGTGATGAAGCAGTCCAGCAATATTACACAGACCGTTCTTTGTTGCATGTCATCGTGGATCGAGGCATCGAAAAAGATCCTCTATTTCACGTAGTGCGAGGATATACACGACACGAGGAAATTAAACAACAAGAGGTAGTTGTTGTTTCTTCAGACGAGAAATTATTTGACCATTTTCATAAAAAATATAGTCATGTGCATTGGCTAATGGAAATAAACAATAAATATGTCTGGATGACTACTAAAGGCACACTTACAAATCTTCGCAAGTATGTTACAGAGCAAGATCCAGGCCTTGATCTAAATTCGAACGCTGAAATGTACATCCCTGTCACAAATGTTAGTGATGTGAAAAACAATGTACTTCTTATTAGTGCTAACCCGGGAATGGGTAAATCAATCTTGCTCTCACATATAGTTAAACAATCGAAGAAAAAGGATAATTCTTTCTTAGTTGTTAAGGCCAATCTAACAGATGGCATTGACAAACTCGAAAGTCTAAAAGCGAAAGAAAATGTTACACTCGACCAAGCAATACACTACCTCTTTATTAGTACACAAATTGAATCGTCTCAAATAGAAGAAAGCGAAAGTGCATTTAGCCTTTTAACTGTCCAGAAAGACGGATATATAGCCTTTTCACGTAACGACGATTTTGATCCCTTGGGTCAATTGCGTGCAATGATATTTTGTAATCTGTACAATAAAGAAAAAATCGTGTTATTACTTGATGGTTTTGATGAGATGGCGCCAAACTATTGCAACGTAACATTGAAACTTCTGGAGAAGCTAAAGCAAAGCAAGGTGCGTAAAATGTGGGTCACCACTCGTCCATACGCCATCATAAAAGACTTAGAACGTGGCTTAGAAACTTTCGCGTACACACTGAAACCTCTGTCAAAAAATGAGCAGTTAACATTTTTCGAAAATTTCTGGACAGATAAGATCAAACGTCGACATACTAAAATAGAATCATTTAAAGATAAAGTAAAGATTTTTTTGGACTCACTAAAAACGAATACTTTTTCTATGCTACGACTGACTGACAGCAAACAGAACCCAAATAAAAGCATTGAGAGTTTCATGGGTGTGCCATTGCACTGTCGCATGTTGGCTAAGGTATTAACCCAAAGTTTTAAGTTAAGCTTGCAAGAATCTGATAACGCTCCCAATAGTATATCAATCACAATCTTTTATTTATATTCCAAATTTTTTGATATAAAATTTGATGAAATCCTGCACAATGAAAACGTAAACAATCCGAAAAATAAATTGCTTCTGCAAAAAAAAGAAGCTGCGAAAAGCGATCATGGTAAATTGGCTCTATTACAGATATTTGACGAAGAGTTAATTGCAGAATTAGTTCCGAACGAAGACAGGATTACGCTTATAAATAATGTAAACGACGGAACTGAAAAAACCGGCATTGTCACAGAAGTTGTTGGCAATAAACCTCAATTTGTGCACCGATTGTATGCAGAATATTTTGCAGCACATCATTTGGCAGAAGTCTTGATGAGCCCAGAAAAAAATAAGAAAAAGGAAGCAGCTAAGACACTATTATATAATAGTCTTACTAGGCACTTCGAACATTTCTATGTCCTGTTTACTTTCTTTAACTACATTGTCGCTTCAAAAAGCAACTACAAAGATATTTTTGAGGCAGCCATTCTTGGAAATATTCAAAAGCTGGCAGAAACCAAAAGCGTGAATGAAATATTTGATCCTCTAATGAGGACACCGATGCATCTCGTTGCTATGGAGTTATTCGTTGTTTTACACAAGTGTCTGAAACTTTATCTGGGAGATTTACAAACAGCAAAAACAGTGCATAAGTATTTCCCTAAATTTATTCAGCGTCTGTCCCATTCAATGAAGGAATGTTCGCCTGACACACTTTTTAAGTGGTCGCCTACGCATTATTTGGCAGTGAGTTTCTGTGAAGATGAAGAAACGGGAAATTTGGAAAGGATTCCCTTTTTAATTCATTATTTAAGCGATTTCAAACAAGACACTCTATGTCGCACACCATTAATGCTGTTCATTTTAAGAAACCCGAACATCTATAAGTGGATTAAAAATTATGGATCTTTGAACAGTTCTGTCCAATGGACAGACGTCAACACTCAAGACAAATATCATAAAACAGCGCTACATTACTTGCTGGCAAATTATTTAAAGCTACAAAATAATTTCGATGATAAATTGAATAGTGTATGTTGCCTACTAAAACTCGGTGCTAGTATTGATATATCAGACAAAAGGAGTACGCCTGAGGACCTTATGAACACATTGTTTAAAGGCGTAACCTATGATATGTTGAAAGAGTGGCTTAATGGCGTAATGTTTCGTGTACAGACATGTACTACGGACATTTTACAAACCAGTTGGAAACACATGAACAAACACATAAAAGAATATTTGGGTGTCTTTGGAGAACATGACGACATACTTCCATCTCACCCAATTTTAGTAGAAAAAAATGATTCTGTAGTTATGCCAATGATATTGCGATGTGTTCTATTATATCAACTACGTATTGATTATGACACACCGATTTTGCCAGTCCCTGATAATGAAGTAATAGCCCTATATTACATGGAAACCTGTGATGAAAACAAGGATCTCATTGCGAAAATAGACCTTTTTAAGTTGTCATTTGACAAAGATAAAGATTGCAACAAAATTATCTTCTTATTAACTAAGACTTACCACGTCGCTTCAATATTACTGTCAAAATTTCCTGAATTAGTGGACGTAGTAGATTCAAGAGGAAGAACAGCTCTACATTATGCTGTTATTAATAAACATGAACCTAGTGTCACTCTTTTAATTAACAGTAAGGCGCGTGTTGATATTTCAGACAATTTTGGTAAATTACCCGCTCACATAATAAAGTCAAACGTATTAAATAATGGAAATACTTTTGATGACGAGATACTTTATTTCATTAACGATTTACCATTCCAAATTGCCGAACCACTAGTTATGACGATGGACCTAGATCCACAGTCACAAACACGGACACAAATAGATGAAGACTTTATAGTTCACGTACTGCGTAACACAGAGACACTGTGTAACGTAGCACGTGTTTTACAGTTGCGTTACCCGGACGCAGTGAATACCAAAGATTCCAAAGGCAGAACGGCCTTAGATTATGCTATTGAAAATAAAAATGAGCCTTTGGTTACTCTTTTACCTGAGAGTAAAGTCCGTGCTGATATCCGAGACAAGACTGATAAAATGTCGGCTCACATAAATAAATCAAAGGTAAGTAATTATTTTAATTTTTTTTTTTTATATGAACAGCAACTTAGTTTCGTTGGCACGTTAACTTATGAAGTTGCCATACCACTAGTACAGTATTACAATATCTTCTCTACACAGTAGCGCAACGCCTTTGAAGTTTGTGCGATACTGCGCTCGCTGTTATACGTAGATGAGAAACAGTTGTCAGTTTGTCACACAATGAAAAAAAAATGTGATTATTATTATAACGTAATAATTTATTAACAGTAATTATTATTTTTCAACACACAATAATTAAATTGTTAAAAAAAGATCAAATATTACTTATCTAATTGTAAAGATTTAAAAGTGTTGCGCTGCCGAATATTTACCTGACACTTTATATTTTGATGTTTTCAGTTTTCTATTAATAAATTTAACTATATATGTATTGTGTATTCGAATTCGGATGAACAGTTCAAAAACGGAAATTTTTATTTTTTATTTCTTTTTTTTTAATGTAGGTATTCATCCCGCCTTCGAAGTGTAAGTTATTTAATTGTTTATTGCTTATATCTTTCAAGTTGGTTTTTGACAAGCATCTATATAAAAAATATATTCAAAACATAAACATAAAATATGACCTAATAATCTCGAAAAAACAAGATTAACATTCACGTACCTACACATTGTATACATTACTCGATCTTGTTTCAAGCCAAACATCGCGATAAGATTTCAAGAGGTACACGTCGTGCGCGGGGCGTACCTCTTTATCTTGGATTTTTAACACTCCACATACAAAGAAACTCGGTAGCATAGCAGCCACTAGATGTCGCAAGTGTATCTACTTCGCGTGCTCAATATATGTGACAGACACTTAGTTGTCACTCCTACGCTTCAGAACGCGCTCGACCGTTATCGTAGATAAACTTCTTCTTCTTCCTGTCTTTATACCACGCTAGGTGGGGTCGGCACAACATGTATTTTTCTTCCACTCTCCCCTATCAGCCGTCATTTTTATTAATGCCGTTATTTTATTTATTTATTTATTTAAGATTTACCAACGCTTGAGTACATTGTTACAATTATAGGAACTTATGCTAGCAAAAAAAAAATTACAAATTAAATGCACCAAACAATTACAGGTAAATACCACTTGCAATTTTTACATGATGGACAATGCAATTGACAACTTGAAACTACATCAAGTTAATAACAACAGTAAATAATAAAAAAAACAAGTAAAGATGCAATGAAACATTGGATTACAACAAGAACATCATAATTGTAGGAAATATTTGTTAAGTAAAAAAGTAACTACGGGGGTAAAAATGTATATTTAATTGTAATTAATTGGGAGTTATTATAATAGAGCGAATCTTGTTAGGTGAGTCATTGTGAATATCTAGTCGGTCACTATATTCATTTACCAACTTGCACAGTCTGGAGATGGGAGAATTTGAACCGAATATTGTTTTTCGAAGCGGTGGAGATAGAGGAGTTACTTTATTCCGAGGGTATCTTACTGGGACAAGTATGTTAAATTTACTTAGTAATTGAGGGCACTCGATTTTATGGGTAAATATTTTGGACACGAAAGATAAATCAATCGTTATCCTCCTTTCTTCCAGGGAACTCATTCGGAAATGTCTCAATTGCGTCTCATAAGATGGTAGTTTCTTCTTTGAGATCCCATTGGAGAATACCAGATGACGCATGAACCTTTTTTGAATACGCTCGAGTTGCAGAGAATGGGTTGCATAATGAGGTCTCAATACAACTGAACAATACTCCAAAATACTTCGCACTAGGGAATTATACAAAAGTATCTTAGTTTTGTTACTGCGCAAACCTTTACTGTTTCTAAGCACAAAACCAGCATTCTTGACGCACGGTTAGTAACGTGTTCCATGTGAGGTATAAACGTTAGTTTTCTATCAAACAGTACTCCTAAATCTCGAACTTGCTCCATCTCACTAATTTTAGTTTGATCTATACTATACTGATATGCAACCAAATTTCTCTTTCGCCCATACCGCAGAAAAAAACATACATATACATGCGTACATATACGTATAAGATGACTTGATTATGCCAGGTATATCATTAACAAATATATTGAATAAAATTGGACCAATATGAGATCCTTGCGGCACACCAGTTGTTATTTTCCGTGAATTAGAGTGATGCCCATTTACCACTACAGAGAAAGTTCGATCTTCTAAATAAGATTTTATCCATCTCAATAATGCACCGAAAATACTTTTTCAACAATAGGTTATGAGGCAACCGATCGAAAGCCTTACTGAAATCTGTATATACTACGTCAACTTGTTTGTGAGCATCCAATGCTTCGATCAAGGTTTCAGAGAGGTCTACTAAATTAGTATATGTTGATCTAAAAGGAACAAAGCCGTGTTTTTTTTATTAATTATAATTATATTTAATTAGTGCTCAAAATTTGTTTAAAATGACGTTGTATAAAAGGACAGATAAGTGATTCCAAGATTTTAGCAAAAGTTGACAAAATAGAGATGGGTCTATAGTTTGCTATTACATCGTTGCTACTCGATTTATGTATAGGGACAACTGTGGCTTTTTTCCACTCCATAGGAAACACACCTGTTCGTAATAACATATTAAAGATAGTTAAAAGAGGCGCAACCAAATGCTCAGCACACTTTTTAATAAATATTGGTGGAATCCCATCAGAACCTACACCCTTGTTCTCGTCAAGACTCTTCAGTTTCGTTAGGAGAGTTTTATAGTCTATAACCGGTGGCATTAGATGTTGGTAGTAATTTCTCTTTCAAATAATCAGTAAGATCATAATTTTGGGAATGACTATCATCATCATCGATATAGATAGATGCAAAGTACGGAGAAAACAACTCACAAATGCCATCACCGTCTGAGGTTGTAACCGATCCATTTGTCATAGAAATTGGATAGGAACTGGTACCACCACGCTTAGCTTTAATGTAGGTCCAAAAGAGTTTAGGGTTCATGGAAATATTACTATCTAATACGCTGATATATTTATTATAGCAGTTACTAGCTAGATGCGTGCAGCGTGTGCTCAATAGCCGCAACTGATATTCATCCATAGGGTTTTTATATTTTTTAAAACATCGCCTGAGATTGTACTTTTCCTTCAAAGATCGTATTAAGTTTCGGTCGAACCAAGGAGGATATCGTGATTTTTGTAGTTTTTGTATTTGCACAAATTTTTTAATAGTAGCGCCTATGGCATCATAAAATTTTCGAAGCATATCATTGACATTATCAGAACCCTCAAACATCTCGTCCCAATTACACTCTCGAAGCTCTTTGTGAATATTCTCGTAATCTGCTCTGTAAAAGTTCAATTTTAGACTTTCTCTATTAAACGGAAGCTTCGGCTCACTAATACATGAGATGCCAATATCTAGAGGAGGATGTAATGGATCAATAGTACTGAGAGTGTTATGAGATTGACTCACGTTGCAAATTGGCAAATTAGACAGCACCAAATCAAGAATTCTATCAGATTTATTTACTACAAAGTTATGTTGCTTCAATTCATTGGCATTCAACAAGTCAATTAAAGGTTGACACAAACCTGGAACTCTGTATTCGCACGAAGTATCACCCAACAAGCTCCAATCAATACCACCCAAATTAAAATCGCCGAAAACAATGACGATCGAATTTTTTAAGCACTTCATTAAAGTTATCCACAAAGTGACTTGACATGGAACTATGTACTGAAGGTGGCAGATACACTACACAGAGAGCAATTTGGCGAACATTATGTGATATTGGTATTTCAACAGTGACCCAAAGATCTTCTAATTTTGATTCCCAACCAAACATGCGTTTAGAATTTATCCGTTTCGAAACTGCTATTAGAACCCCACCCCCTTCTTTCTTAAGAGCGAGTTCCGCATCACTCCTGTCTCTCCTGTAAACAATATACCTTTCGTCAAAAAGCTCATTGCAAGAAACAGAATCATTTAACCACGTTTCAGTGAGGATAATTACATCATAGTCGTTACAAAGTACTTGCTGATAAAAATTATGTGTTTTTGTTTTTAGGCCGCGAGTATTTTGATAATATAATTTTAAGGTATCGAATTTTGAATATTATAAGTTTACACTTATCGTAGGTAAACACCAGTCGAAAATGCGAAAAATGCCTAATTGTGCCATTATAAACTGCAAAAGCACCATAAGTGATAAGGGATTTTGTAATCAGAATATGCATAATTTATTTCAAAAATAATTATTTTGATTTTGTATGTACACCCTCGGCTTATCATCCCTTCGACTTACCAGTTTGGCGTTGAACTCGACTTATGTCTTCATACATAGCCTCAACTTCCTCATCTGAGTGTGTCGAGGTCGGTGCGTAGAGGTCTACAACGACCTTCAACGAGTAGCGCTTGGTTACTCTGGGTATAAGGTACGCAACCCTACTTGACACACTTCCGATGGATGTAATGTTGCCAATGAGGGATTTGTGGACGATAAACCCGACTTCAACCTGGGACTGATGTTCACCTTCCCTGAAGTAGTACAAGTTGCCGGATTTCAGGGCTATTGTGTCCTCCCCCTCTCTACGGACTCCCGACAGCGACACGATGTCCCCCAGTCTAACTTGTCCACCTCCATAGGGATGTTATAGTGGTAGCCACGGCTGGGGTAGCCCATACCGTGACCAAGATTCGGCGTTTGAGCCTTGAGGTAGCACTGGAGAAGTCTGAGGCTGTGTGTTTCCACGGGCCTCAAAACGCACCGCGCGCGGGCACGACATTGGTGGTGGGATGAGCCTCCATTGCTGTTAAGAGTAGGTACTGTAGAAGCGTAACTCAGATTGCTTAGCTTATAGAGATACCTTTGTAAGAAAAACTAAATAAATTATATCTGCAACATATATTCAATTTGGAATCTAGTTTCTAATTGCCAAGATTTTGGTATCTTTTCTCTCTTATTTTTTTACATACGTTCTAAACTCAAACTTATATCCATTCAGACGGTATTTCTACTCATAGAGTAGATCCTAGACTACATCCCTCTTCCTTACAACTGAAGGGGTGCACATCTCTAGCCGATGCCCTACCTATGATAGGCAACTTACATAAGTGGTCAGCCTTCACTACAAGCTAGCCACACATTGCACGGAAGCTTCTATCTTACCAACAAGCAAACCACCGAGGAGGCTGTGGCTTTGGTCTGCCAAAAACCTATCTAAAAGAACAGCCCATGACCGCATCCTAATCAAATAATTCAACATATAATTATTCGTTAGCTATCCCAGCTAACGAATAATTATATATATAGATAACCTATCTAAAGCCCTAACACTTTATTTCATCTAAACCCTCACTAATTGCTGACTTATTTCATCTAAATCCTGACTCCTAGAATAGTGAGCTACCCCAGCTTGGCTGAATGTCCCTAACAAATCTTTAAACATCACTATTAGCACTTCCTAACTGCATCCCTAAACTATCTTCAACGCGCACGCTGCCACGATGACGACACAGGCTTGAGCACCCATCGGACGATCACTGGGGAACATCAACATAGATCTCCCAGCTGCCTTAGTCCTCATCCTGCAGCTGTCCACGTTCCATCATTTTCCTTTCTTTAAACAAACCAGAACAAACACACAAATTACCCTAACAACAACATTTCCTAACACACATATGACATGACACGATGACATATATCATATGGAGGATTCCCAATAATTAAACAAATATATTTTCCTTGAATGCAGACAGTTCTTGTTCATCTGGGAGAATGACCACGAACTATACACACACACACAGGACAATATATCCATCAAATCAAAAAATAAAAAGTAACATATTTATCCAAGTCGGCAGTCCATCTTGTCTTAAAATAAATTCCATCAAAATAGTCGTCACAATGGCTCCATATGAAAAACAAACACAAAATATTAACAAACATCTAACACTAACATGTAACAATCTATTACTCATTAGAAACAGAAAAACATTAAAACTACGTACTATAGAACCTTTTCAATCTATTCACATGCACCAGATCCTGCCTACCCGAACTATTCCTATTTACACCTATTCTTCTCACAATATAATTAACTCTACTCAACCGATCTACTACCCTATACGGCCCTTTAAACAATCTAGCTAACTTTTCACTTCTATTAGAAACTCTCCTAGGACAATATAACATTACCAAGTCTCCCGACTGATACACA